TGACGAGTGGATAGAAACTAATTGTAAACAGTGCCCGAAGTGCCGATCCAAGATTGAGGTTTTATTATTGTTATTATTATTATTATTATTTAATGCTACCGCCTTCTCTTCATGCGGTCACAAGTGGGCGGGGCATTGTCAGTTTGCAATCGCGAATGGGCGGGGCGTTGTTTTCGTGCAGCGGCGGGTGGGCGGGCTTTATGTTCTGTAAGTGAGAGGTAGGCGGCGCTTCGTCTTACTGCATTTAGAATGGGCGGGGCTTTGTTTTATTATTAATGCCTATCGTTATTATTATTATTTATTGTTATTATTAATTAATTAATTAATTAATTATTATTAATTATTATTGTAGAAGACAGAAGGCTGCAATAAGATGAGTTGTTCCAAGTGTAAAAATAGTTTCTGTTGGCTGTGCGGTGCGTTACTGGATAAGAGGAGACCGTATGACCATTTCAATATACAGGGGGCTTCCAGATGCTACAATAGACTTTTTGAGGGTTTGTTTTATTTAGTATTATTGTTATTGTTTATTATTATTATTGTATTTATTATTATTTATTATAAAAATAATTCGATCAGGAATGGAACATTCGGACGATGAGGAAGAAGACAGCGAAGAGGACGATAATGAAGTGGAATTCAGGTGATATTTCCCGGGCTCAAGCGAGAGAGATCTTTTGGTATTTTCCATTTGGAAAATGGAATTTTTTATGAAAGTGTGAAAAATTCTGAAGAAAATATGGAAAGTGTAAAAATTTTGTGGATGTAATGCAGTATTGATCTTATTGAAGTGTGCAAATGTANCAAATGTAATAATTTAATACTAATGAAAGTGATAGATTGAAGAGGAAATAAAGTGGGTGTTTGGTGTTGGTGTGTTGCTTTGGATTGTTTGGGTAGTGGCTGGGTTAGAGAGACCGAGTCTGCCTGAGGAGGTGGATTTATTTGTGGGGTGGGTTGGGTGGTTATATTGTTGGTGTTTTTATTATTATTATTATGTTATTATTATTATTGTTATTATTGTTATTATTATTTTTATTATTATTGTGATTATTGTTATTATTATTATTGTTAATGTTATTATGATTATTATTACTTTGTTATTATTATTGTTTTGTTAATTGTTTGATATTGTGGTTATATTGATGAGTATGGTTAGTATTTCTATGGATTTGATATGGTTCCGGGTAATATGTTAGTATTATTATTGTTATATTGGCACGTTTTGCGCAGTAGGCGTGGCCTAGGTTGTGATACGCGAGCGTGCTCGCGTGCGACCCTTCCCAAGTAGAGAAGTGATGTATTATTATTGTTATATTATTGTTATTATTATTGTAGTTATTGTTAATGTTATTATTATTATTATTGTTGTTATTGTTGTTATATTTGGATTTGCATATTTAATTTACTTTTGCAGCGCAATATTTTTGGCTGAATTGAGTTGAATATATAAAATTTGGAAGAAAGGGCATTGAAGAGGAACGAGTAGTGGAGTTAGCAATGGGCGGTTGGAAACTGGAAACGGGACGTTTCTTTGGACTGGTGGCATTCCCGGTGTTCGCGTTCTGGTTGTTCAATCAACCGGATGTATTCAAGAAATATGTACGTTGAAGTTTTTGGTTATTTGATTGGTGGTTGATTGGTTTGTTTTAACCTGAGATGATATCCACTTAGGTGTGATATTGAATTAGGTTTGAGTGTTATGACCGAGAGTGATCTGAGGCTCAGGTTTAGATAGGAGGCTGAGGTCACACTTCTAGTTATAGTTAGGCTGAGGCCAGTGTGCGGTAGGCGTGGCCTAGGCGTGGTCATATGCGAGCGTGCTCGCGTGCGACCCTCCCCACCCCTCCCTAGAGTAGACAAGTGCCATTGAATTGTTGTTTCACTTGTGATCAAGTGATCGAGACGTGATCATGATTTGGATGGTATCGATTCAGATGCGTAACTACCAGTTTCCTGATTCGTCGGCTGGCGATGCGGAGATTCTGGCGTTCAAACAATCGATAAACGAGAAACGTCGAAAAGAGGAGTACGAGAAGTTTTTACGTGAGCAAATGGCGTTCGAGGAGGCGAAACGCTTTCGAGAGGAGCATAATATTTGATGTAGTGTTGTGTTGTTGAGGTGGTTTGATTGATGCTTTGGAGACTGATTCCTCATGGTGCCTCTTTCAAGCGTATGGCCTTGTATAGTGTTATTGTTAGTTGTATTACTGTTATTGTCATTATTATTATTTTATTATTATTGTTATTATTATTGTAATTATTAATATTATTATTATTGTAATTATTAATATTATGATTATTATTATTGTAGTTATTATTATGATGATTATTATTACTGTTTTATTACAGTTATTGTCCGAAGTATTGCTATTGTTGTGGACCTCAACATAAACACTGCGGGGAATGTGGATTCGACGGATGTATTCTCGTTATTATTATTGTTATTATTTTATTTTTATTTTTGTTATTATTATTTTTATTGCGATTAATTCGGCCCGATGTATAGGGATATGTATTTGTGGGATGTTTATGGTGTTTAGAGATTTTTGGAATTAGTTTTTATGTTGATTTGGGTTGGAGTTGATTGATTGATTGATTGATTGATTGATTGATTGATTGATTGATTG